GCCGGATATCGAATCCGGATTCCTATGCTGTCCAACCTGCCACCTAGCCATGGAAAATATTAAATAATAATAATAATAACAATAACAACAGCAACAACAGGCCATGGAGGTCCATAGAGTTGTGAGAGGTCGAGGCTCCCATATTTCCATCGGCTCACAGATGGCGGTGAGTTTGTCAGCCTTACACGCCGGCTGCCCTTCACCCCCAGGAATATCTCTGGTACTTACTTGTTAGAGGTTGAGTCGAACCCAGGGCCATGGTGCGGCTGGAAGGATTAGGTCAATTGAAAAAATCCACCTAATCGAGATTCGAACCAGCGACCTTCCGACTTGTAGAATAGTGCAACCAAATACGCTACCGCGTGCCCCATGGAAAATATGAAGCAATTATAATTTCGTGCAAAAAAAAAAATCTAACATGTAGGTACGCAGAACTGTCGCACAATAGATCACTGAAGGTAGCGGTTTTGTTTTATTGCTAGTGGGGTGGGAGTAAGTCCCTTGTACTGCGGCCACTTCTGGCCTATTGTACCAACTCCAGATGACATGTGAGGGTGATTGTGGAGCAATTGGTGGAATGAAGATTGGCAGGGGAAACCGAAGTACTCGGAGAAATCCTGCCCCAGCGCTACTTTGTCCACCACAAATCCCACTTGACCAGACCCCGGGATCGAACCCGGGCCACCGCGGCGGGAAGCCAGCGACTAACCGCTTGAACTACGGCGCGGCCCCTACAAGACGGTTACTGATGAGCGCTTCCAGGACAACGGTATTTCCAGATTTTGACTTCAAATGTTCCAGGTTACCCGAAATTCACATAAGAGAGGTATGCGCCAAGCATCGGAGGCAAGAGATATGCATACAAAATTTTTGACCTGAAATTTGAAAGGAAGACAAATCGATAAAATGTGAAGTGGATTATTACGGCTCAGGGCCGGTTCTATGGTGGTCATCGATGGTTTTGTAGTGATGCGAACCCTAGTCTCTGAATCCGAAGGGCAAAGACTGGTGGTAACTAGAAATGAGACAAACTGGACCTAAAGGGGCCCATACATGTACAAGTCTGGCTCGTTCAGTCTGACTCGGCTCGGGTTCCCATGAGCCAAACTCGTCCGTGTGTGGTTCGCCACAATCATGCGTGTGTGGTGAAATTAATCCAAGCCCGGCTCCCAAGTCAAGCTCGCCCAGCCGGACTCGCGAGCCAGACTCGTACGTGTATGAGCCGCCTAAGGGTGATCAACCATCAAGGGAAGCAAGGAAAACACACAATGAGGAATTTCGCGTCGATCACAGCGGCCACGCGGTGTAAGGCATGAAATGTCTTCGCCCGCTCAAGCACTGGAACCGTGGCTTCGAAGCCCACCAGAGGAATAGATGTCTGCCTACGTTTCCTCTGTGTTTTTGTTGGCGTGTGTAGGTAACGGCCTTGAGTCGGGCTGATCCCCTGTCCAAGGAGTCCTGCCGACTGTCTAGAAGATCCACAATTTCGCAATGAATTCTGAATGGGAACAGGCCAGACACCCTAGTCCATCAAGGAAGACGAGGAATTTCATGGATTCTGTGTTGTACTTATTTGCGTTGCTTTAAATGGATGGAAAGAAAATATGTACTAAGAAGAGAAGGGGAGAGAAAGGAAGTGTACCTTATGTTGATTATTTTAGGACAGCGTTTCGTGGACTGGTCCTGTGCGAGATAACTGAACTAAGAAACACAAAATCCACTTCAACCCGAAGAGAATATGAACGATTCTGTTGGGTACAAACAATATGACATCAACATTTCTGTTTTTCTTGTTTCAGATAAGCCACTGGCTTGATAATGAAGTTCCTGTACACTGTTTCTGACATGCACTCATACCCTTTCTCCTCTTCCGTCGAATGACGCACGTGAAACTCGGGAACAATAGGCCACAAGAAAGTAACTTTATTCTTAGCGATGAACGAGAAGACGAATTTCTAGGCAAGGATCGACAGGTTTTATATTTACTTTCCGTGATAATATCGATACCGAAAACCATTACACAAGTCCAACAGGCACACAACCATTTTCACTACTTCACAGTTGTAGAATGCAAATACGTGTATTATAGCGTTTCCCAAAATATTAAGATAATTCAACACTTTCGATAGTATAACAAATTTAATGAAGATGAGTCCTTCTTCAGAATACAGCAGTTGCTCAGATTCGATAAATTCCCAGAATTTTATGTAATCCAAGGGTTCATTACAGTGTTCGTAGAGGCCTGCCATTGGTCCCTACCCTCAGCCTGATGAATCCGTTCCACCCCCTCACCCAACTCCATTTCTCTAAGTTTTCGATATTATATTGTTTTAGTACTTACGTTAATTGTTTCGTGCACGTGAAAGAAGCGTTCGAAACTTTTTTCATCATGTTTATCCATTAACAGGGGGCACGCGGTAGTGCAGTTGGTTGAGGCACTACGCTACAACACGGAAGGTAGAGGATTCGATTCCCGATAAGGTCACTGAATTTTTCAATTGACCTAATTCTTCCAGCCTCGCTATGGCCCTAGAGTCGACTCAGCCTCTAACAGAAATAAGCACTAGGAATATTCCTGGGGGTAAAGAGCGACCGGCGCGTAAGGCTGAGAACCTTACCGCCATCTGTGAGCTGACTGTCTAGAGAAAATGTGGAAGGCTGAACGTCTCACAACCCTATGGGCCTCCATGTCCTGTACCAGGGAGAGCTCTGCCTTTACCATAAAACTGTATGACACTACATGATTCCAAGTAACTCCCCGGCCAGATAACTGATTATCACCTCCTCATGGATTCTGTATAGTGCAGATTAAAGAATTTGCTCGGAATGACGAAAATCATTTAAAATTTAGAATAGCCGTCCTATGAACCTATATATTGGACCTAATTCGAAACATTACACCGCTATATTTCGTAATTGTCAATGTGACTATGACAACAATAACCGTCCTCATTGATAATCTCTGGGTCCAGCCGAAAATGCCTTGTCTCGCAGATGCATCCGCCTGACTGGGAAATCGCACGCTGAAACTGTAATAACAAATTATGGCCCCTGGAAATGAGCAGTAACAGAAAAAGAAAGAATTGAAGATGGTGGTGGCAAGATGGGAGAGACGTAGGAAGGAAACGCGGGAAATGACGGGGAGGATGAGCCCGATACAGCAGTTCAAGGCTGTACGAAACAATCCACGTTACCGTTTCCCTTCTCACACCCTTCATTTCCGCTAGCTCGTCTGACTGAACCCGCAGTTCGCGTCGCGTCGCGTCACGTCACGTGTTCAGTTCCTTAATTACCATGAGCACTTGGGAGAAAAACGTGATCCAGCTATTCACCTCCACACAACAAAAACATTGGCATGCTGTTAGCATACAGGCCGACGTGAAGGGACTGGGATCTCTGACAGAAGAAACACACAAACAACCGGCTAAGGCCAAAAAACGTCATGCCGCCAGGGCACCAAATGGACTGTTTCACTGCACAAAAACAAATTAAAATAAAAAAAAATATGGTGGATATAAAAGTCAAATTAAAAGAATCCATCTACATCGTTTCTCTAGTTTACTTTATGATGTGGTCAGTATCTTGACTTGGAATGACAGGACAATTCACGAATTGGAATGGATTTGGAAGAAGGCTGTCACAGTCCAGTCGAGATACTATCCCCACATTTACCTGGATGGAGTGTGGAAAATCACGAAAAACCTCCATCAGGATAGCTAGTGTTCTCATCGAGAGATTTGAGCCTTGACCTCAGAAAGAATTCACATCCAAGCTCAACTGGCAGTTGCCTGTCCATTATATGACTTCATGTCAATACAGCAGGGTTTTATTCAGGACACTACAGACATCTCTAAGACAGTACTTGGACTACGAGCACTTGCAGTCAGAAGATTTGCTCTATGAGGCTGAAATAGTTTCATCTGTCTCAATTACATTTCATTTGTATAAACTGAATAACCGATCATTTGTTAAAACGGTCTATGAGCTATGGAGGGGCCTTAAATTCCCAGTATACTATGAAAGGGTTAAGACACAATTTAAGACAGCATTCATACTTGTATTCTTCCTCAGGACAGCATATACAGATACTAATCCTAGCAATGCAAATCATGAACTTAGACAGGCAACCTACGTGTGTGTCTCAAAGTAAATACCAAATCTGCAAACTTCTTCTGCAGATACTATAAGTATTTCAGACACTTTACAGCCGCCAAGCTACATGAGGAAAGCAAAGTTGCTAAACAATGTCTATGAGTTCAGACAACTGCATACTATTGACATACTAGCATATATAACACACTGTCTATGTAGCAAATTATTCACTACAGATATGCGAAACCATTCAAAACCCATTCACGCACAGGCAACAGCACAAAGACAAAGAATTAAGCAAGCAACACAGTATAACCTTGTTTGTGCTACTGCTCAACTACATCCAAACCTGTCACATGTGAGAACGTCTCCAGATGGGATCAGCTATCAACATCACAGAGTAAATAACGTACTTGAACTTCAAGGTACAGCAAAATTTGGGGGGAGGAAAAAAAAAGTTTTACTTGACAAATATAAATGTTAATTCATGTAATCTCTTATCATCACTTTCAAATCAGATCATGAATCCAAGAGAAAACATTAAGTGGTGAAAATGTTAGATTACTAAATTAACAGTGTTCTTATGATCCTTAAATTGGACCAAAATAAACAGAATGACAGAAAGCATAGAATTATATCATAAAATTGAAATGTAGCTGTATTAGATTAAAAGTGTGCAAAACTATATCTTTATCTAAGATCATATGTTTGACCATTAATAGTTCACAAGCAGACCTGTTAACCTGGGTCATTTTAAGCTTGTCATTAAAAAAGAAATTAAACACATCAGTTATTCAAAAGGCAAATTAGACAGAAAAATTCTTACCTGGTTTTTATGTGGATTGTGGTACAATACACATTCGGACATGAAATATGCTACCATTGCATTTCCTCCCAGGGCAGTCACATGTGCACGTACAATGGCTAGAACTTCGGTTACGAAACTGTGAACGAAGCCACTCAGGCCTCCTCCCTAGTCACAAAAAGACGGTTCACATATACCTGAATATAAGGTTTACAGTTAAAACATACAATGTTCAGACGTGAGGCATCTAAATTTTGAGAAGTCCAACCAGAGCTATTTTACAAAATTTCATAGAGGAATCAGACATTTTATTCACACAACTTCTTCAAAGTGTCTCCCTCTTATACAAAGCTTGATTCTGCAACTGCACTTTTATCCCACTTTATTTTATAAGGAACTGTTACTGTATGATGCTGAAATTAATTGTATCAAAATAACAATAATTTACATTAAAATGTTTTTACAACACTATATCAATGTAACATCTACATGTTTTGCCTAAAAATAGTCATCTTCTGGTTCTCAATACCTTACAATATTTCATGAGTGAGTGAGTGTGTGTGTGTGTCACACTCTTCTAGCAACTGCTTATCTTTCATCATTTATTTACAAAAACTTCTACAGATACTACGAAAGTTAAAAGTAGATGGAATGAATGAGTTCTTAAAAAGTATAAAATACAAGTATATTGTCAACAGTGGACTGCTGCTTCAGTCTTCATTCTTTCTATATGAATTTCCAGTGAACGCTTTCTCAAGCGCATTTTTCAAGATTATGATTCCAGCAGAGAACTGGTCCTAAATTATTCTGATCTTGAAACTGTACATTTCTTATTAGAACTGAATATCATGGTTGAATTGTTCATGCTCTGCTTTGTGTTTGGGAGGTTCAGGGTTTGATTCTCAGCCTCAATGCTGTCATATCTGAGGATTTTCATGGCTTTCCTCAGCCAGTTCAGGCAAATTCTGGAACAATATCTTAAAACGGAACACACCCGCTTCCTTACACTTCCTTCTTAATTCATCAATCACGATTAATACTTCATTTTGAGTTATATAATCTGTACAGATGAGAAAGCATTGTTAAATAAACTAAGACACTGGAATGTGATGACACTGACAGTAATGAAAATAAACATAAAGGTTAATACAGTCAGTCGTAAAAGAGTTCAGTGTCCCGTCTTGGTTTGAACCAAACTGATACATCAGACATTAAAAGTAAAGAAAATAAATAATCATTTAAATTAACCATTGTTGTTTCATAACTAATTCTCCATTAAACTACACCATTTGATTATGAACTGAGGTAGGTCAGTCAGTGAAGTTACTGCTTAAGTGCCAGACAACTGGAGTTTCATTCCCAGCATCGGCAGCAGCAGGTACTTTTCTCCTCAACACCAACCCCCATCTAATGGCTACAGAGGAGTCTTTCATGAATGGTAAAGCAGCTGGAACACAAAGCTGACCATTTAACACTATCTAATGCTAGAGTTAAGAATATATGGCTCTTTACTTCCATGCCCATACACTATTATAATCATTTACGGTGAAGGAGAGAGAGTTTATAGTATTACCATAACAATACATTACTTTAATATTTCACATGCATCAGAACCTACAAGATAGGTCATGTTTAGCACATTGCACACTTTCTGCAAACTGTAAAATGTGACAGAATCATAAAGATTCATCATCCCTCAAGAGAATAAATCTGATTATGATAAAGAAAACAAAGCTTTCTTACCTCTCTAATGCAGGTGCTTTCTCTGATGAAGAAGAAATTCAAGTTCCCAAGATAACGTTCAATTTTACCACCAGGTACATAGGACAAAGGAGTCATATCGACTCCATACCTTTCTCTTGGTGGAGTCTGAAATAAATATATTGTGGCGTATAGACCCACTGCTAACCAATGACTCTGTAAACAGTGGCCATTTCTGGGCAATAGTTCCTGCTGCTAGATTCTTAGTAATGCAACAGTTGGACTACAACAATGGAGATGGTGTGTTTTCTGTGTGGTCCATGCCAAGATGTTATAAGCAAGAGACAAAGTTCAGTAAAGTTCTGTGCAGGATTCTGTGAAGAAATCCGAAGAATCTCCACTGTTAATATCCATTACCAGGAAACATCTAGTGAACACAATGCAGGCTGGAGAAGACTTGGTATGTATGATTTGTAAAGTGTGGAAATAACGAGCGTTATAGCTATTTGCAGTTATGACCTGTAAGTGGTCAATAAATCTATTTACAAATCCAAACCCCGTCTACAGCCACCCTTACACACGACAATATATTATAAACAAGAACACAAGAAACAATATTTAAAGAAACTAAAGAGAAACTGAAGCCTGAGGAAAAAAATGAAACTGAGAAAGCAGTATTCATCATTCTGAAATGACTCAAAGACAAAACAAGTGTTTTGGGAAAAACAAAAATTATTATGATCCTTCAGGAACCACAGATTTTCATTTGTTAGCTCTGAGGGTACATAAATTCATTATATGAAAACGACTTAATTTAACTCAGGGCTTTATACATATCACTGCTCCATTACAGAAAGACAATGTGAAATAATACAAATAATTCAAAATACTGTATTTTCCTGTGAACAATACATGTTTCTTGCCACAAAAATTGCAATGCATCTTATACACTGACGAATCTTATATGTGGCAAGTAGTATTAAAAGTAAGGTAAATGTTAGAACTCATGGTTTCTCAATACAGAAACTACATTGTAGCGCGCTGGATCTGGAACAAAACAATGCACATTAAAAAAATATTTCACTCTACGGGAGACATACTGTGGATGGCTACATGATGGCTGGTCGGTTAAGATACTCAAACAGACAAAGACAGAGACATACACTGCAACTATGTAAGCCTTGCTCCCCTCAGAAACAACACACACATTTAACAATGACAAAGATGATATTACACATTTAACAATGACAAAGATGATATTATACAGCTGATTAATGCTAAATATTTATTATAAACATCTTCAACACTTTTTTTTATTGCTAGTGGGGTGGGACTAAGTCCCCTGCACTGCGGCCACTTCTGACCTATTTTACCAGCCCCAGATGATAGGTGAGGGTGATCGTGGAGCAATTGGTGGAAGGAAGGGTGGCATGGGAAACCAAAGTACTCAGAGAAAACCTGCCCCAGCGCCATTTTGTCCACCACAAATCCCACTTGACCAGACCCGGGATCGAACCCGGGCCACCGCAGTGGGAAGCCACCATAAATACATGAACATCCATTCTCCATGATCCTCATCTCAACTGCTGAAGTAGAATTCAGAACCAGATTTGTTGTGGAATGAGATAGGGTACAAACTGTTCTTCATGCTTCTTGAACACAGCAGAAATCATTTCAGAGTGGTAACCTGCAAAACTCTGACCCAGAGTAGAACACTAATTTGCTCTCTGGAACTGATCCTGTGGCCTGTGGACCAGCATGGTATAGAATGCCAACGAAAAACCTTACACCATCAGACCCATTAAAAATCTTCCAGCAGTTCTTTTTTGTTTGATTCTAGCTAACCTAGGTTTATCTGACCTGTACCAGATTGTGAGATTTTGTGTTTCATTCTTTTGAATATCGCTCTACCAGCTATAATGGCCCTGTGTTCCATCAAAATCTTGCCACCACTGTATCTCTTTTATCTGAAACCCATTCTTAGCTTTTACCTTTTGTTAAAACTCAAGCTTATTGGTTCTTTGCTGTCAGAAATGCTCCAGTGTCGTACATATCAAAAACTGCTTGCTGTAGCATTGTTATTTGTTTTCTGCAGGGATGATATTTCCTTAGTGACTACTGATTCGCAGTGCTCCTTGTACTAAATGATGGTTTTGCTTCACTCAAAATTCTTGGCACAGTCCGAACTCCTATTTCAAAAGTAGTCACTGTTCTTTCTAAATATCTGGAAGCATTGTTACCAGCATTATTTGTTGCTTTCTGCCTACTGTGACTCGTGTGTGAATATAATAACAGTATCCTTTATACAGGTACACATTTTCTCTCGCTCTTTGTGCACAACCTTCCATTTACGTCCTCTTCCACTTTCAGAAGCACAAGTCAATACTTCAAATATTCTTCATGGAACATGAATAACATCAATAAAGGCTCTTCCCAATTGAAGAGAGCTTTCAACCTGAAATAAATATATACTGTGCAGGGAAGGAGAATATACATTAAGGTGAGGCAAAATAAACCGCCTGAAAACCACAAATCGCTTGGGCTAGAAACAAGAGGCCTGCTCCTGAACATTTAGGACTTCACCATCCACTTGCCTAAAATCACTGCTTGCTCAAATCACTGATAACTCGTCATACTGCATGTGATACCTATGTTTGTCTCTCTCACTGCAATAAGTCACACATTTCCAGCAGGGTGACACCACACCACTACCTTAGAGTGGACACACCTCAAATATCAGAGGCATGAATCCTGTGAAACTGCACTCCAAAACCACCTGCTACTGAATGATGCTGACTGGGGCAGCTACAGGAAGAGACTGAGCACGACATCTGATGTCACAACACATACATTTGTGACCTGCCATCATTTGAGCACCTAACTCTAGTTTTGCAGAAATGTGTTACTGAGGCAGTCTAAGATTCAGCCAAGTACTGGATTTGGCGTTCATGTCTGACAAAGAACCAAAATTACATACTAAAAAGAATAACAACAAAATATTCATAAACACTTCTTAACGTCTCCTTCCTACATCATTATGCATCTTTACTAGTGCACCTTATACAATGGAAAATTGTAAGTACTCTCAGTTGGAGACCATTTCATGGAATACACTATTCAGTTATTCAGTACAGAAGGGGTGGGTTTCCCCATGCACCGCAACTAATAGTCTATTGTACGTCCCCCTTTAATTTCTACTGTCGCCATACCCTACCGATACTGGTGCTCGCTATCTCCCCTTTCTGCCAGCGAGGTCGGCCCTCTACTGGCAGTGGTACCCGATAACTTCCCCATCTACCGGAGGCATTGGAAACTACTTGGGTGGGAAACTTTTTGCCTGATTTTGCTCAGAGGTCTCCTAGACATGAGGATCTTTTACGTGCCGTAAATCTATGACACGGGACCCACGGCTTAAAGTCCCTCCCAGAGGACTTGTTCCCTGAATTTTTCTGCCCTTAAAAATTCCACAACCTCTGCCGGGTTTGAACCCACGTACCTTGAGTCATGAGGTGGGAACATTACCCCTAGACTATGAGGCCGCTATGGAATACACTAACATAGTAGACTGATAAATTAAAAAAAAAATGCATGTGAGATATCAGTCTGACGACAAACCCCCATTATAAATACATGCAGACTAAATCAACTTACATGATGAGGTTTAGACTGAGGGATTTTTATCCTCAGTGGGGAGTGTGGTCTTGGACAACCCAACTGCACCTGTAGGGGTGCAGCAGCAGGATTTTCAGGAGCTACATGATCTTCATCTAAGTTGAAGATTAATTCACATTCATCTGCCTTTTTAATTGCTTCTTTGCTTGTTGATGAAACAACTGTTTTTTTCTTTAACTTACTGCTCGGCCTTTCTGGCTCTCCGAGGCCTAATGCCATTCCTGCAACCAAAAATATTAATTCTCTGCAAAATACTGAACACTACTTTTTGCCTTCTTTCCTTAAATTTTTTTAATAACTCAAGAACCAGCCTACCGTTTATAATTTTATTTATCTATTAATAAAAATACCAACATAGCAACCATGCAAACTAGAGATGAGAGCAAAAGCTCCATTCAAGGCCTCAAAATTTTACAAATTGAAAGACATCTGAACAAGGGTGAACAATTCATTCTATAGATAAAAGCTGTGAAGCATCATAGAAATGCACAACCAGACTGTTGCAAAATGGTATGGATATAAATCCATAAAAATTAACAATGTAAACACAATCCACATATTTAGCCCATTAACTTCTGACTATTTCTTAGTTCACTAACTTATCACAACCAGAAAGAACATACAAAAGAATCCAAAAGCTACGAAGAGGGAGTGATATCCCAGATTAAGCAATGAACTATGGCCTGCATCAGATTGAATATCCAGAGCATAGCCATGAAAGTGTTAAACAGGAAAAGGAATCCAACCTAACACAGAGATCTGCAATTCATCTGGTTCAGGCAACTCAACACCAAACTGGAGGTCACACAGGGCACATGGGACCATCCGACGTAACTTGAAGTACACACTCTGAAAACGTAAGGAAGCAAACATTTGTGTCAGAAAAATTCACTTATGTGATTCGTACAAATAAATGAGGTAACAGCAGCAGAATGACAAATGAACAATATTTCATTATTCATAAGGTTACGTAAGGTATTTGTGAACACAACAAAAAATGGTTTTACAATCAACCCTATGGGCCTCAACGACCTGTTGATGGGATAGCTTTGCCTTTTTTTAATTATTAATGCCCTGTTCACTAAATCTAAGAGTATCCATTCCCCCAAAGCACAATAGACCACTGTAGGTCTCGGTGCAAGGGCCGAGAAGGCCCACCCCTTATACATTCATTCATTCCCCCACCATCACTGGTAGAGTCTAGTAAATTAAAAGATACTGTTAACAATTTTAGTTTCCCATGCTATCTTACATATTGCCAGAACTACCAAATACTGGTTTATACACCTTAGGGTACTTATGGCAAATAGCTCTATTTGCTTCATTAAACTGTATTACATTTTTCATTTTAAAAGTCTGCATATTGAACACAGGAGTGGCAGGACATATCTCAACTATTTTAGTCCTCATGGAAATATCTGATCAATGCCAGTATGTTTCAACAAAAACAGGAAACGCAAGTTTCAAGTTTCAAGCCACACAATGGGCAAAAAGTTTGTTTTTTAATACGAAAATCTGAATGTCTGCTGAGCCATACCCAATAAACTAGAAGTTCCTTAATAAATAAAATTTGTCTCATTACAAGACTTACCTGTAACAGTCTATGAAAGTGTTTACTAAAAACACTAGTTGGCTGGCCTGTTGGGATCTTTGCTCGCCATACTTGGGTGAACATCTGAAGATTTTTTACAATTTCTTGGTCATCCAGGCCTGGAACAGTTTCTGTGTTTACCACATAAAAGCCTTCTGGTGGATGAGGATCAATCAAAAGTGAGATTACATCCACATCTTCTGCATCATCCACCTAATATAAAAAGCATTAATTTCAGAACTCGGACTCAAAACAAAGACTTGATTTTCTCATCAGTAATTTTAATCATAACTAACACACAGGTAAGAGAACCTAGAGTTTCAATAGCCTTAATACCAAAAACAGCGATTAGACATCAACCCACGCAACTTTCACCTTCTCTGATTTTTCCATCTTTCAAGGTACCATATAAACCATTTTGTTTGAGCATATTCTCTTAGCAACCATAACCCCACATCTGGCACCAAAGTTGTCTCTGTTTCTGTGTCTAAAAAATTGGTCCACCAAATTTGGAAGTGTAGGGTCATTGCTGGAGAAATAATGACTGTTAAGAAAATAAAGCTCAAACAAAATGGCTTATTATACTAGCAATACTGTGAATATAATAACGAACATTTGGGGGTTCCACATAATATGCAGTTTCTTGACCAGTAACTACCAAATTTTCAAGGATAATCCAGCACAATATGAGTGAAGATATGAATCTCACAGTATAATGTTTCTAATTATGCATGAATAAATTCTTCCAGAATCTGACAAGTACATACTTTTTTCCTACAACTCGTCAAAACGTGTATCAGTTACTAAGCATTCATCAGTAACGTGAGTCATACCTCAACAAAGAACCAGAAACAGCCCCATAGACAAAATTCCACTATGCTAAAAACTTCCTAACAAAGAACAGCAAATAAGAACATGACCAGTGAGCCCACCACAGAATGCCAGGAAGACTAAACCACGCAAGCAGGATGACATGTGACTGTCAGCACCAACATCATATACCCACGCAACATCAATATCTAAATAAATGGACCAAAATTTGAAATAACCTATTCCATCTACTAAACCACACAAGCAACCACTGACACCCACAATGCACACTCAGACAACACATAAAACTCCATAAGGAAAAAAAAGTGAAACGTATTACAAGCCACCCCCCCACTACATTTCACCATAAAAGCCCCCTATACATAACAGGACAATTTTTAGCAAACTAAAAATAATTATAATTTTATACAAATTTTACTAATGTTCAAGAAGTATTTTAGTATATTTAAACGTTGTAATCATATGTAAAACCTTTTTATATGACAAGACTATTAGCAATGGATCCAATGCATCACATGCTAGTAATCAACATGGATATATTTTGCTATTTATTAATGTCTTACGACAGTCATAAAGGACCGAAACATGTAGTGTGAAAATATTTTTATGAACTAAACTGATTTATTGACAATCTGATTCTACCAGTTATTTACTGAAAGTATAAAGTTGTGATTGATGGATATACAGGGCGTTCAGTCAAGGAGGAATCTTTGCAACACCACTGACTGGGCCCAACATTCCTCACAGATTGCTGCTGTAACTGCCAATAACGGAATGAGTCATTTATCAGCGCCAATGACTCATTCTGCTACCAGCAGTTACAGCAGCAATCTGTGAGGAATGTTGGGCCTGGTCAGTGGTGTTGCGAAGTTGTCTCCTTAACTGAACACTCTGTATTTACATATCACTCATCAGAAGGCATTTCTGCATTTAATTCAGTTCTCTTCAATCTGTACATTTAACAGCTAATCAATGTAACTTTCCCACCTGTTCAGCATATTGTGAGAATATGCATCTGACACTAATGAACTCCACCATATTAACTCTGGAAAATCCTATGCTACAGAAGTTTGTCTCAAAATATGTTACAACTTTTTCACAAGTTATCAATTTAGATCCATAAATAATATTATTTATTTCTCAGAAAAAATGCATGCTTATAAATAGATCTTGTACCTCTAACACACAAGTATCCTTGTTGCCTGTTGCTAAATCCAGGTCTGGTAATTCGTCATCTGATTCCTCAGTATCAGAAGCTGGAATTCTACCATTTGACTGAAATTCAAGCTCCTAAAAATAATACAAACAAGTACTGGGTTCAATTTTCACAAGTGACAATATGAATAATCTGCAGTATGAGATAAAAGAACAATTAGGATGGAATTGGGGCAGAATGATGACTGAAAGACTTACAAGTCTTCTAATGAGGATAAAATATCAAGTTTGAAACAGAGAAAAGCCCCTGGTACAATTTCTTTACACTCAGTATTGTAAATAACAATTAATTTAAATTATTTGTAAGAAAATATCACAACAATATCATGCTTTCATAGAGATATATCTGTAACACTATAAAATCCAGACATACTTTACAACAATACATATCAAATTTCCCCAGAAAACTAAAAAGTAAATTGATATACAAAAATTAAAATATACACCATGGGTCTCTTCCTTACAATTAGAGGTTTAAGCTGATAGACCTCTCGGTTTTTCTTAACAGTGTCTTGCAGAAGTTTCTGGATCTCTGTCAGTTTCTTATCATCAGCCCATGTGTTGTCTGCTGATACTTTGGGTACGGGAGGCATAGGTAGCGGTGTAAGGTAGACGGCAGTGCCTGTGGCTAAACCAACCAGCATCTTTTCTCCTATAGACACCTGTACCTACAGTCCAGGGAGAACAATACCAATCACAAACAACATAAGTGTCATTGACAGTATTCAAAACATCAGTGTTCTCATATTCTTTCCAAAATTTCTAATTATAAGATATATGTTCCTTGGAACCTTGTTACATACCTCGTCCAAGCCACAAATGACACACAGAATTTTCATGTGCTCTCTGTATAACACTCCCTTCAGATACATACTTGTATGATGCCAATCTTCATAAAACTGAAATGGCTCTAGAAACTTTTGTAAGAACTTCTAACACCAAATTTCATCAAAATCCATCCAGCCATTTTTGACATAAAACATTTAGATGAACACACATAATTTTCCATACATGTGTTCAGTCTATGCCTGCTGTGCAGCAAACACATAAAAAGGAAGCTGGCTGGCAAGCGAATGCACATTACAGGATTCTTTAATTAAAATTTCCCTTACCTTAAGCCCAAATATAGAATTCATGCCCTTCACTTTCAGTTTGTTGATCAGAAGACGATGCAGCTCATACTCTAGGAATGGTAAGCCATCAGAGATTTCCTTAGCATTCAGTTCACCCCTACAGTCTCGTTTCGGTCTACAAACATAGGCTTGCAGAAAACAGCCTTTGCCTGTCGTTGAAACTCCTTCTGGAAGCTCAATAGTTGTGAACAAAACATCTGGTACTTTGCCACGTCTGTATGTGAAAAGGAAAACAAACAGGATCTTCACAGTTTCCTCTTACAGTGTATGCCCAATATACACAATAAAATCCACACCTAAGACCCCAACATGACAAGAGAATCCTCAGATACAATATACTTGAACATATTGTAAAAATTAAAACACAGAGTCCATCAAAAGAAGTGTAAGGATATTTTCTAAACTACCAACAAAATGTATGTAATTTCTGTGACACACTATACTATGTTTGCAACAATCAGCTGTACAACAGTGGCCAACAAATTTATTTCCAGTGAAATGAATGCAAAACCAATTATAAACAATTATTTATCAACACATGTTTGCCCAAAAGCAACATTATAATTTCATTCGCTGACAATTTTCATACTGTTGTATGTTTATGTTTATGTTTATGTTTATACTGTAGGGGAGTGCTCTAGAAGTTATAAAAGAAGCCAAAACTTCATACATGACATAAACATATAAACAAAAACAAAGTCCGTTGTCCGTAGTCCACAAGCGAACTATACCAACCAGCGACCGCCGCTTGTTGGCGAAGTTAGTGTCAACTTTTGCAAATAGATGGTGTCGTGTCGCCAGTGCAACGAATCCCCATAGCCAATAATTTCGGTTTTCTAGACCAGAGCCGCTATTTCCTTGAAATAGCTCCTCAATTATCATCACGGGGCTGAGTGGACCCCATTCCAGACCAACTATTTCTGAGAAAAAATCTAGTGGCACCGGGAATCGAACCCGGGTCCTCTGGATCTGTAGCCAGGAACGTTGACCACTAGACCACAGGGGCGGTCAACATTACAGCCTTCTGGATTATGTCACTGTGTAATCTGGTAGGTGGGTACAAATCTTCCAGAGGAACATACTGCCTCCATCTTCAGTGCAGACGTGTGCGCATGCGCAACACACAACACAACACAAAAAAAACATGGATGTTCTGTAAATTCCAAATACAGACTTTTACACAATTAACCTTAACTCACCTACATATAGCACATTTAAGCATGGTGACTCGAAATGGTACACTACATTCACTGTATGGTATGTGACAAACAGAACAGGTTGAAACTGGATCAAGCTCATATCCATCAGACAGGTGCCGTACTTTGCTACCTTGCTGAAAACACAAAGACCACAGTGTCATAACCCAGAATACCACTATAAAAATCTTCACGATATTGAAAATTTCAAATCTTAAACAATAAAGCAACATTCATAAATTTAGATTCAAAATCAGAAAGCAAACAATAATGGTTTATTTTGAAGTAAATTATTAATTCTAACCATAAGTAATAACTTAGAAGAGAAAATAATGGAATTCTGAAACCTGGGAGACATTTGCCAGGGTTTACATTCTCATTTGCATTACTGCATAATTATAAATGGTATTTATGAACTCTATAATGTTTTACCATGAATGGCAGTGTAAAATCGCCTTTCTGGGGAGTAGTCTTTTCTCGTTCAAAGTCAGTCCTGTCCAGCGAGGTGGTCATGAGTTCCTTGTTGTGCATATGTACCCTGGAGACAAGATGCTGGCCACTAGTGTCTTGTTCCACATTTGTACTGAACTGCAGATTAATGACAGCTGCAGTTCCTGATGCACTCAAAACACACACATCATCACATATACTTGTGTTCTCTGAATAGCCCAGCACAACATTGCAGCCCAGAGCACGCGCATGTGATCGCACTTCCATCCTGATCTCTGTCCACCATGCATCTCGTGTCTCAGGCTCTTCCAAGTTTGTTATTCTCTCTAGCAATTTCACAGACCTTGAACTAACAGTTCCACCTGTAACATATACAGCAGCATCATCATCATTATTTATATTTGGAAGAAGACAATATATTTGTTTTTTACAAAAGTAATCATCTGACATCACATCCTTTCCCACTTTTAGTACTTTTTCTTTAGGTCAATGAAATGTTAATTTGATTGTCATAATAAATAATCAACAATTTCAGTAAAGTAAAGAGGTGCCAGGATACATCAGCTGGAATAGTAAAGACCTACAGGATGGATGGCCAGGAGAGACTTTTCTCTTTTCTACAGTGTCCAGTCCAGTTCTGGGGCACACCCAACCTCACATCCAATGGGAGTTGACAACTCACCACTCACCTCAACAGTGGAGGTATACCTTCACGCCCGCATACGACTTCATGGCATGGTGCTTAATTAAGCACAGCGAAAATTTCACCTTAATCTTATTTTAGGAGAAACCCAGGCAAAAAAACTGGTGCCTTCACAAGCACAAATATGTACATTCTGTCTTCATAAATATTTACTGAAAAATCATGGTGCACCCTATACTTCTGAAAATATAGTGCAGGAACATAGGCATAAAAGTAAAATAGAAATATTACACAGGAACGTTTATTTATTTATGGTTCATTTAACAATTCTAATGGTATCTCAGACAATACAGTGTCAAATAGCAGGATGAAGAGTGAAAAACAAATTGGAAAGATGTGCAAGGAAGTAGTTATGACCTAACAGTAACACTATCCTGATATTTACCTGAGGTGCTTGAGTAAATCCGCAAAACCTTCACTGAGGACGATATGTGTCCTGGCCAAAATTTGAGCTCGATATCTCCCAAACACAAATCAGAAATATCACTACTTGAGCCAACTTGCTCGAGAACAAGAAAGAGCATTAATTAATTGTTAAGATATGAAGTCTGAGGTTATCATGGCAGTGACTACAAAGATAACCCCCCAGGGCGACTCTCGGGTGATATGCGGAAACATACCCTCGTGAAAATTGTGGAGAGTGAACATTCCAAGGGGAAGCATCCTTCTAGGCAATGTCGTATTTGCACAGTTCACAAAAAAAGGAGTATGTCTACATCTGCAAGTTCTGTATAATGCCACTTCACAAAGGGGAATGTTTCCAGAAATATCTCACCCTCAAGCACTTTTAGGAGCATTGGTAAGTGTTCTCCAGAAATTTTAGTTCATAAAATTAATTATGAGATTTTATATTCATTTCTAAGTGAACAGTGCACAAGTTAGGATAGTAGGTTTAATAATGGCGACCTCAGGATGATTTAAATATTTAAATCGACAGTCCTTAATGTGTTAAGATATGACACAGCATAATACCTAAGTGCATTATGAAGCCAGGAGGATATTTAGACATAGTAAGGAATGGATACTCCATCATATCCAAACTCTCCTGATTCATTGATGGTCGAACCACAGCAGGTCCCTGTCGCAAGTGACCACCCATAACCGATGAACGATCACTTCCTGTTAAGCTGTTACCTGAAAAGGAAAGTAAATAAAAGGTATACTGTATGCTTAGGCTATCCCAGTAATAGTGTGTACATTTTCTGTCTGAATGGATATTATCATAAACTAAAATTATCTTCCTGGGATCATATTCACCCACTACTTATAGTCAAGAGGCACATTTTCTTATCAAATTTATATTTCTGGATATATAATATACTGGATTACATTATTCTATTTATTCTCATATTAATTAGTTCCAAGCATTCAAATAATTTCCATATAGCCTGCACTCAAATGTATCATGAGATTTCCACACTTTAAAACAGCACAGAAAATTCACATTATAATTCATATCATTCAAACACTAACATAATTAATTCAATACTACAATAAGACATGACAGCAACTAAATGATGAGACTGGCATGTTCTTGGGGTGAAAGATAATGAATGCATAGGGAATGTCTGTGGGGAAACATACTGCCTTTCCAACAGAAATACCAAGAAAGACACTGAAGCATAAGATTACGAGACATCCTAAGGAAACAGATTGTGAGGAATGGAGACTGATGAAACTGGCTAAGGATCACGCTCAACTGTAGCCTCTGGTGTTAGATGATGCTCAATTGTAGCCTCTGGTGTTAGATGTGATAAATATAAAATTAATATAATTTGTCCGTTAATTGCAAAAAATAGCATAAATTTCAATCTAAACCTTCGGCTTACACGGTCTGAAATGAGAATCACATTTCCTTCAAAACATGTATATGTAAACCTGAGAGCATTTAAACGTCATTCCCACTGTATGTCATTATGATTCCTGTTAGCTTCCTCAGAACACCTATGTGGCTAGGACTGAGCGAACATACATGTCATTTTCTGTCACTGCGACCAACAATTAAGAGGACTGATAAAGTCACTTCACATGAGGAGCACACAAAAACTCCAAAATGGAATTTCATTTTGTACCTTGTACAAATGTTAACACTTTTATTTATCTTCATGTATAAAATCCCCTTGAATTCCACATATTTTTTTAATCATGGAACAAGCATCACAAATCCAGCAGAAGAGAAGTTTCTTTAAGCCTCTGTAAGAAACTATGGACATGCTGTAGGACCTGCAATCAAGTTCAAGCTTCTGGTCTCCTACTGACTCCTGCAGTTGTCCACACAGATGGAGATCACTGAGAGCCATGTACAGACTATAAGAAGGATGTTGAAGCACTTCTCAGCCCATTTCCTCTAGAACTGTTGTCCGATACAGGTCTTAGCAAAACAAATATTTGCATCGCGGACAGTAAAGCAACACATTTCTGGCAACATCAAGGATGGATTTCTGACTTATACAAGTGTTTAATTATTCAGATACAATGACAGGAGTATTCTTTTGATCACTGCAGGCAGCTACTGATGAATTTCAAACTTGAAACACCCTCAGCAAGAAGAAACTTTGTAACATATGGTCCTGTCCTTCTACACCCACCCACTACACTTTCATTTCACAAAAGACAAAGAGTTTGAAGCAGAATTCCTATAAAGACTACTTCTCCTACTGCATTAATATCTAGTTTTACACCAAAACACTATCACTGTCATTCCTTTATTTTAGTTTTGCAAATAACTTACTCCTTTCATACACAGTCTTCCCACACTGAATTTGTTGGGTACAGTCTCGATGTTTCGCACCTTAGCCACAATGTGAACATATACGAGTACTTATGTTCCGCATACCAGATTTCACAAGCCTAACTCAATAGTTCATTAGTTATCACAATCAAAGTGAGAGTGGAAGAAAACATTTGCACAGCTGCTATGCTATTTATTTATTTTGCATTCCACAAAACAATTATCAGACGCAGACAGCAGGATGATCTCAGAAGCCTACCTCCTTTATTTAAGAAAGGAAAGTGGCCAATAAAAACAAACGAATGCTCATATTTGTATCTCAACTACAGAATGTTTAAATGCATGAAGCACGTAATGTTCCACGTTTTACAACAGTACAAAAACAATTCAGCTCTGGAACTTCCTCACCAGTTCTCATAATTGTTAATATTCTGTTGTGTCTGAAATGGTAAACTTCAATGTACCTTACCACATTTGATGTAATAAAGTGCTGTGCATGGAGATCATCTAATTATCTACCCAACAGTAGGGTAACAGCAGTGATGAATTATCATCAGAAGAAACTCTGGACAGATGTGAAAGTTACAGCTTGAATTTATTTACAAATAAACCAGTACCTTTGTTTTGTTCTGAATGATAAAAATTTACTAATATTTCACTAACATGTATCACTCTGGACACTGTTCAACAATAAAAGAACACACATATTACACTACATTTATTCAAATTGTAGTTAGTTTTACTTAAAGCAAGAAAATATCATACATAATCAGTAATAGCCACATACACACATACACACATACACACATACACACATACACACATA